AGACACTTAACACTTACTAGCTGTGTGACCCTGGGCAAGTCACTTAACCTCAATCGCCTCACTAAAAAAAAAAATAATTTTTCAAGCCCCCATGTGATTCATGGTCACCAAATATCCTTCCTCACTAGTTAAAAGACTAATGGAATTTGTGGATTAGCTCTTCTCATCCCAAAGCCAATTTTAGCAGGTGCAGAATAAGGAGATACTAGTCAGAAACTGTCACTCCAATGAAATTTGGAATTCAATATAAAGTGACACTTTAAAGGGAACTATAATACACTCTCTATCCCTGGATAACTGGGCAGAAATGTTGAGGACACATTCTGGTTATTAAGCAAAATGCATTGATTGTGAGAGCAGCAAATGTATAGTACATACCCCCACCCACTTTTCTTGTCCTTTACTCAGATTTAATGTTATCACTAAATTCCCTTATAAGAGAAAGGGCTGCAACTAGAAAAGCACTTCATTTTAACCAACTGTTATCCAGGGAAAACAACCGGCATAATCTACTGATTATGTTAAGGTCTGAATCCACTGTACAGATGGAGTGGGATTATAACACCAGATGGGAGGATCAGTTTTCAATGAAAGAATGAAGAAAAGAATTACTGTACATCTTTAATTGATTGCTCTTGTTCCTAGAAATGCATTAGATGAAAGTGTTCATTCCCTAAAGCTCTTAAGGTTTCCTTTATCTAACTATTTAAAAAACTGCTACTAAAATCAGACTGCAGTCCATGCTAAACAAACCAAAGGTTGTGTGGCTTTTTTTTAAGTTCATCAAAACCAGTTTCAAAGCAGCCTAAGATTAGAATTTCAAACCAAATTGTTTTAAGTGGACTCAGTTCAGATTTTAGACTTCAAAGGAAAAATGGGAAGTTGCTAAAAACAAATGTGAAAGGTTTTCAAAGATAAATAATTGAAGAATATAAAGAAATATGGAAAAATCAGTTTTGGATAACAAAAATAGAACTGGAATTGAGAATACGCATTAAGTATTTTTTAAAATCTCTATGTAATCATAGACATATATTTTAATCATAGGAATTAAGGAGATTTAAGTATTATTGATTAGTATATTATATATTGTATTTCATTACTGTAAGAATCCCTGCTTTTATCACTGCAGGTATTCTTTTCACTGACACAGAATGTAAGCCCACTATAACTTAGTAAAATTCTTTAAAAATATATGTATATTTTGTCTTTATATCAGTCATTTCAATTCCAACCTCACCCCTGATTTAACCTTTCCTTGTGACAAAGAAAAACATTAAATAAACATCCCATACAGTGGTTGCACTTGGCAAAATGTAGAGTATTTTGTCCTATTTATCCCCTATCTCTCTGCTAAAAAGAGAGGTTTTCTTATCTATTCTACCTTTGTTTTTCGATTACTAAAAAAATTCCTTTTAGTGATTGTCATTACTGTAGTTATGTTTATCTTTCTCTTGGTTTTATTTTTTCTCTGCATTAGTTCACACAAATCTTCCCATGTTTCTCTAATTCATTCTTAATTCATCATTTCTTATTGTACAATAACAGTCTATTACCATCCTTTTTTTGTTTGTTTTTAGCCATTGTCCAATTTATGGATTCCCCCTGTCTCCAGTTTTTTGCTAATGCAAAGAGTGATGCTGTAAATATTTTGGTGTTAGACTTTAGTTTCTGTCTTTGCTTTCTTTGGAATATACTCTATATCCAGTAGTCAGCATATATACCCCAAACCACTAGAATAGAATAAAGCCTCCAAAGCCATAATGCAGGCAAGTAATCCTTGTGGAGAAGGGTCTAGCCATCCTCACCAACTGCCAACTGGCTGGTACTTATGGGACAGGCAAGCTGGTCTGAGGCAGCAAGGCACTCTGAGGGAGAGAGAGAATGTGGCAAGTGTCAGGCAAGTTAAACCATCCTCAGACTTGAATGGAGAAAGTCCAGCCCTTGTAGTCATCACCCTGGGAAATACCCAGCCTCTGTGGATATGCTTCCTGGCAACTGCCTCAGCAGGTGCAGCCCTACCTTTTCAGCAGGCCTGGAAAACAAAGTTCCCACCACCAGAATCCTTAGTACTGTCAAATGCCTCAACCCCAGAAACAGATATGACTTTTATCATTTACTTTGCCACTGTACTCTAAGTACCACGGAATCTTTCCATCCAACTTGCAGCTAAAACCTATGTGTTGTCTCCTACATATGAGTTCCTGGAAAGCAGGGATTGTCTTGTTTTGCCGTTTTTTTATCCCCAGTAGTTAGCATAGTGCTCTGCATGTGGTTAAGTGCTTAATAAATGCTTTCCTTATTGGTTTCTGGGTTAAAAAGTATGGAGGGTTTTTTGTTTTGTTTTTTAACAACATTGCAAATTGAAATCTATTACAGTTGGACCACTCTGCACCTGTGTGCCTGCCATCCCCATTAAAATTGATTGTACCCATCTTTCATCATCTTTGTCATTTTGCAGGGCACAAAGAGAAAACCAGGTTGTTTTAATTTGCATTTCTATTACTGTTCATGTTTTCTTTTGGTCATTTATATTTTTTAATTCTTTAGAAAATTTCATATCCATTTGATTGTATCAATGCCCTATGTTTTGGATTTCAAACTTTTAACTTTCTTTTGCCTTGATTTTCTCCTTAGTCTTAGTTGTGAAAAGTACCTTATCTTGGTCTCCTAAGCCTTTTATATTCAGGTTGTTTATTATAAATTTTTGGCTTGTGGTATATGGTGGAAAATGTTGACCTAAACCTTGTTTCTGCTAAATTGCTATAGTTTCCCCAGTAGTTTTTAAAAAATTTACTCTAGTAAATTGTGTTTTTCAGCTTATCACAGTGGATTTTAAAAAACTATTTGTTTCCTGCATGGCTAATATGCTCCACATATCTACTTTTTAAAAGAATTAAGTACTGAATAGTTTTGCTTTATAATATTAAAGGCTGAAAAATGCTTTGCCCCACCCCACTTTGCTCATACTTTTTCCATTTTATTCAAGGTTCTATATATTTTGAGAAGAGATAGCATTTTAGAGTTGTATAACTAAAAAAATGTAATAGCTTGAGGACAGCCTGGTGACAATCCTATCTTAATTTAGTCTAGTGCTTGATGACACATATAAGTGTGTTACCACATCTGTGTACTGGAGCTCATGCTCACGAGGCATCAGAAGAAGACTTCTGTGAGAATTGTTAAATGAAAAGTTGATAATAAAATCACAGAACAAAATTCTGTACTCTACGATTAAAGGAGGAAACGATTCGATGCTATCTTTAGTATTGACTATCTTATAATAACTTACAGTCATTGATTGCTTATCTCAGTTTTCCTCCCTAACAACCATGGGAGGGGTTTTAAATATTTCTATTTCACAAAAAGTAGACATAAGCACAAGTCTAGTTTTTTGAAAATAGTCATTTTGCTTATCCTAATAAGCCAAAGAAGCCTTGTGTTATAAAAGTTAACAGAACCAGCTGAAACAAGGTTGTTTTCACATGCATTGTATTTTCTTAAAATTTCTGACCTATGATTTGATTTGTGTAGATGAGGAAACTCCTCCTACTAGTGCAGAAGAGCACCTGCTCTGATTTGCCAGAGGCACTCAGAGATTAAAGGACTTGCCCGGGGTCACACTAACTGTGTTGGGGGAGGGGAGAGGGGCCCTTCAGTCCCTAATTCCAGGCTCTCTCAGGTATTACCTTTTCAGATGCACCCAACCATAGTATCCCATCCCCAAGGTATCTGGGTAAAGAGTCCCATCACTCACTTTTCTAGTATAGCCCAAGAGATGACCCAAAGACTCACTTCTCTCCAGCTGCTCAGCAGCCCTCCAAACCTAAAAAATGAATGCCCTTATCCTGCCCAGAATGGAGAATTCTCTCCGCTAGGGACTAGCTTTGGGGCATCTTCCCTTTTGGAAGTAGCTCCAGTTCAGTATGATGTTATCCATTAAAGGGTTTGCTTCTTCCCCACACTAAAACAAGGTTCTCTTCTGAGTTCTGTTCAATTTTAAGTAATGGCCAAAAGCACCTATTATTAATCTGTTTATGACAACTCTTCCAATCCATGCCAAAAATAAGTCAAACATGTACAACTTTAGGAGAGGAATACTTGAAGGGGAAAAACCCAAGACAAAAAACCGCAGTTATCAGAAAGGTAGTTAATTCTTTTAAATAGTTGCATCTCAATGTATGTATAAAATAGAATTTAACCTTCACAACTCTCTAGTTATGTATTTAGTATGCAAATCAAAGTATACCAATATGTACTACTATGGCAATAAGTTATAAAATCTTATAAATTTTAGAGCTTCCTTTTAACTCTTCCTTTTAGTTTCTGGTTATCTTAGCTGGTTTTTGAAACATGAGATAATTCTGAGGGACTCAGTGTGAAGTAGAAAAAGTTCATCTCTTGAACTTTCCAAACTTTACTAAATCAACCCAGTACTTACTACCCCATTTTTGCTCTGACTAGCTGTTAATCAGCCATTTACTAAATCAGCTGATAACAGCTTAAAGTGGAATCTCTCTCTGAAGTAAAATGAGTTGTTGACACCCACTGAGTGTGAGTGGCCATTTATACCCAAAACCTCCAACAACTTAGAGCTACTATCCCCTCCCTTCTCTACCTAAGGAGTAAATAAAAGTCTTGGCATATTGGCTCTGAGAAATGATGCAAAGGTCATGGAATCAATCCCAAATGGGCCATTAACCTTCACATCTAACTCTATCCAATCATATCTTAAATCTGTGCCTTTCATCATAAGCTGGATGAAGAGTGCATGGATGAGTGAACACAAATCTACCAATATTGATAGAAATAATTATCCAAAGTACCTACTGATGGTGGGTAGGCAACTCTTTAAATATATAGAAGATAAAATATTGTTGTCATTCCTAGACAAAATTCTGCAACTCCCTTATATACATACGAGGGGAAAATAAAACAAACAAAACCTCCCAACCAAATTCACACAGAATTCCTGCTGGATTAAAAATGCTTACAAAAGATTAAAATGTACTTCAATTAAGTTTAATTAAAATTCCCAACTCACTGTATAAAGAATGACATGTCAATGTTATTGTGTTTAACTGCTGCCAAGATATCAATATATTCTAATAAATAAATTCATACTTTCTCAGCTCCAGTAATATTCTGTATCATAAAGTTAGAATAGTGGACAGCAATTATCTTTATTTTCAGTTAAAAGCTCTACCAAAAATATACATTTTCCTTAACATTTAAAAAACAACAACACAAAATCTGAGTGGCTGTCAAATTCTCCACTGTTTTACAAATAGTGATGGATGGTGGAAGTAGAAGTCAGGAACAGTGTGCATTCCTTAACTCAGTAGGAAAATGTTCATTTCACAAATTTTACTTTTTCCTTTAAGAGTCTGAAGCTGGGGTTCTTGCTGATCTTCTTGTTAAAGATGACCAGCAGCTCCTCTTCAGATTTGTGGTGTTCGTTAGTCACTGCATAGTATTGTGCTAAAACCTTCATGTAAAGAAAACAAATGTCAAATGGACATTTGAAAAAATGGACAAAGTTTATCTTTCAATAATAAAAAGATGTGTTTTGACTAGGAATCTAGGACAACAAAATAACAGTAAAATATTGAAAGAAAATAACTCTCCACAGTAGGAAAGACAGAAGAGGCAGAATTAGTAATAATAATAATAACGATGATAAGCATTTATATAGTCTTTACTATGTGCCAGGCATTGTGCTAAGTGTTTTACAAATATCTCATTTGAGCCTCACAACAATCCTGGGAGGCAGGTGCTTTGCTATCCTCACTTTTCAAATGAGGAAACTGAGGCAAACAGAAGTTAAGTGACTTGCCCACGGTCACAAAGCGAGGAAATGTGGTCACATTTGACCTCAGGTTTTCCTGCTCGGTCTATCTACTGTACCACCTGCACCTGGAGTCAGAAGACCTCGGCTTGAGTCCTACTTAGTTCCTGCTGTGTGATGTCGGCCAAATCATGTACAGATTTTAAAATTCACTTTCCTCATCTGTAAAATGGAAAACTAACAAATTATGAAGCATGTTATGAAAGTGGAATTGATCGGCCTTGGTGCTGGATATGAGAGATGAGGGAAAAGAGTCCTATAAAAGCACTACCAAAGTTTCCAACATGGGAAACTAGCTAAATGGTACTACCACTGATAGACACACCAAGGACATGCAGGGAAGATAAGCTTGGTGAAGCAGAGGATAGAGAATTGGGCTTGGAGGCAGAAAGATCTGAGTTCAAATCTGCCCTCAGACATTTTCTAGCTGAGTGACACTGGGCAAGTCACTTAACCTCTTTTTGCCTCACTTCCCTCAACTGTAGAATGGGGATATATTAATAGTATCTAACTCACATGGTTATCATGAAACCAAATGTAAAGTGCACAGTGCCTGGCACATAGTAGGTCCTTAATAAATGCTTATTTATTTCTTCTTCCCTACATCACAGGATTGTTATAAGGAAAGTGCTTTGCAGATTATACAAATATAAACTGCTATAATAAAATGCCTGAATATTTGACAATAAGGAAACAATTTCATCAACTATACCAATTTAACATTCCATACCTTTTTCTTTAACTTTTTAACTGATATTTCATTGTCGGGGGCCTGTTTCAGAACAGCCTTGATAGTTCCTTTCCAGTTGAATTTCCCTAAAATGTGATGAATTATACAGGGTATAATATGCATACACGTATATATACACACATAAATATAATAAATACTTGTTACAAAATTTTATAAAAATAAACATAAAAACAACACCAGTTGGGTGAATAAGATAGTTATCACAAGTTAACTACTTTGGGAAATGGATAAACTCTTTCCATTGAATGAGCTATCATTACTACCATGCTACATTCCAGCTAAGTGGGACTACTAACTGTTCCCCAATCTTGTTCTTCATTCATTCTAGCGACTCAGGGCAACTCAGTGCATTACTGCAGGGACCCCCCCCCACCCCAAATGCCTAGCACACACTCCCTCTACCTCTCTGCCCACCGGAAACTTTCAAAACCACAACAGCTGTTCCTGACTTCAAAAAGCTTACACCCTAATATGAGAGACAATATGTAAATACACAGATAGAGGAAAGATACAGACATGGATGGGAAAGCACGGGTGACTGGGGATGGTTTCCTGCAGAAGGTGGTTTTTATGCTGAGTCTTACAAGTAACCAGGTATATACTGGGGCAAAAGTGAGAAGCGAGAATATCCACGGCATGAGGAGAGATGGGGCAAAGGTAAGAGACAAGAGATAGTGTCATATAGCTGGACCATAAAGTACATGAAGGGGAGGTAAAGCGTATGATGGGAAAGGCCCAAGCTGTAAAAAGAGCCTTCAATGCCAAAAATTCACACTTGACTCTGGAAATAATAGGGAGTCAGTAGAATTTATTGAGCATGGGGGTGACATAGTCAGACCCCTGCTTTAGGAAAATCCCATTGGCAGCTAGATAGAGGATGGAATGGAGAGAGGAGTGACTTCAGGCAGACAAACCAATTCAAAGGCTATTGCAGCAATGGTGATGAGGGCTTGAATCAGGGTGGTGACTACGTGAGTGAAGACAAAGGGATCTATATGAGGAATGCTAGGATTGTACAACTAGGCCAACTGAATGTATGAGATGAGACTGATAAATAGACAATGACATTGATGATGTGAACCTGAAAGACTAGTAACACCAAGAAAAATAACAGAGAAGTTTGGAAGGGGGGAACACTTTTGAGGGAAAGAGAATGAGGTTAATTTTGAGGTGCCTGTCTACAGAAAATCCAGTTTTAAGATCCAAAAAGCAGCTAGAGATGTGGGATTGGAGCTCAGAAGAGAGGATAGGGCTGGACATACAAATCTACAAGTTAGAGATAATGGAACCCAGAGGAGTGAACAGAGATAGCATATAGAGAAAAAAGAGTCGAGGACTAAACTTGGGGAACACCTATAGTTAAAGGATGAAGATCCAGCAAAACAGACCAAGGAGCAGTAAGACAAGTAGAAAGTATCCAATTTTTTCCTAAAGAGCAAGGTATTGAAAACAGGGCAAGTAGGTGGTACAGTGGATAAAGCACTAGGCCTGCAAACAGGAAGACTCATCTTCATGAGTTCAAACTGGGCCTCAGACACTTACTAGCTTGTGAGACCCTGGGCAAGTCACTTAACCCTATCTGCTTCAGTTTCCTCATTTGGAAAATGAGCTAGAGAAAGAAACTGCAAACCACTCCAGGATTTTTGCCAAGAAAACCTCAAAATGGGGTCACGAAGAATCAGACACAATTGAAATAACTGAACAACAACAAGGTATTGAAAATATCTGCCCCAACATCCAATTGGATTTGATAGGTTAAATAACTATATTATCATTACTGCTAAGTTTTGGATGCTTACACGTTTAATATATTAAATCCACAAGATAAGTTATATCATGCTGTCAGTAAAAAAAAAATATTTTTATATCACCTTGTACTTCCTTTTAGGCCTTTCTATTCGTATTTGTCTTATATTTGAGTACATGCCTGATTGGTATTTAGGTATCCTCCCTCAATATATTTTAAGCTCCATAAAGTGAAGAATGTATTTTCTTTTTCCTGGGATTTGCCCCATGCTAAGTACTGAAATGATCAATATCAATTCTGTATCATTTTCTTATTGATATTATTTACAAGTAATTGATTTTATCCTGTAATTGCTGAAGTCATGGTTCTTTGTCTCTGAACTTAGTTCAGAATTCAGCTGGCCTGTAATGAGTTAGGTTTAGAAATCTAGCTCTCCTGCTAATCACTGATCTATTATTGCCTGAAGGAATTTAGTTGACCTTGGGCAATGCATGTGAACACAAGAAAGTCAGGCCTAGAATCTTTACACCACCAAGCTATCTTTCAAGGATGTCTGGTTTGCTGTCCAAAAAGGTCAGTCTGTTATCTCTAATTCTTGCAGCTACACTCAAATAATGAGCACTTCTTAGTGTCATAGCAGAAGAGGGGGGGTCATTGCTAGCCCCATTACAAAACTTCCAACCAATCATGTTGTTCCCTGTGCCTCTTATTTGTAAACAATCATGTTACCTACCTTGTCACTTACCTTGTTCTGTTCTCCCCAAAGCTTATAAAAGGGGAATTATCCTTTTATTCAGGGTCTTTGGCATACACGGAAGTAAGTCACTAACCCCCAATAGGAAGCATCCCCCGATAACAAATGTTATCTTGCTCAAAGAATTGCCTCAGTTTACCCTTCTTTTAAATTTCATGTGACAGTATATTACTCTGAATATGGAAAATGCAGAGAAAATTTAAATAAAATTTGTTGAAATATACCTTTTATAGGTGCTTCACTTTCTTCAGTCTCCACATTAGTGTCTTCTGTATGTTTCATTTTTTTCTTCTTAGAATCAGCTTCTTCTAAGTATTTAGAAAATTAAAGTACAACATCATTACTACTATTGTCCATAATTTGGAAGGGAAAATACTCCTGTTGGAGTTTTGTATTTAGAATTCAAAATACTTCTGTCAAGAAAAGAAACAACATTTTTTTTCATTATTAGAAAACAAGGTACACAAATGAGCCACCTACCTTCTGAATGCTTATGTTTCCTTTTTTCTGCAGGTGCTTTCGTCTCTTCTTCTGTCATCATTTCAACGTGATTCCCATTTCTATTCACTTCTGATTCTGCTGCATATTCCTTCTTGTTTTTTTTCTTCTTACTTTTCTTTTTTTCTGCATTGCTCATTTCTGGCATTTCTTCCCCTATGGCATCAAGTTCTTCTCCCTGGCCCCTCTTGCGCTTTTTGGATTTCTGATCACTTGAATTTTCTTGATGGTTTTCTAACTTCAGTTCTTTCTTTTCTTTTTTCCTGTTCTTCTGTCGTTCTTCCTTATGTTCTCGTTTGTTCTTCTTCTCCTCTGGTTGTCCGGCTGTTTTTTCACTGACTTCAGTGGGCATTGTCTTAACTTTGTTTTTTGAATGTTGATTCTCCACCTGGTTGAGAGGCTGTTTCTCTTGTTCTTTTGTATTTGGTCCCTTGTTATTGGGGGGAAAATACAAAATTCATTATTTTCCTCCCTCCACCCAAACATTAATTTAAGATCTATCTTTTTATATCATCACCAACATGTGATGAATTACTAATTCAAAGGAAGAGAGTCTATGTATTTTTATACATTAGTCTGGTGAAGTGGAAAGGGCAGCCGATATATATCGTCCAAAGACCTGCTTTGAGTTCTGGTTTTGTCACTCACTAGTTATCAGGATAATCCTAGAAATCCCTACCTCACAAGGCCCTAGCAAGGATCAAATGAGATTACACACTACCATAAAAACATTCTTATATGTAAGCTGTTACTACAATAGGAAGCACAACAAAGCAGCAACAAATACAAAAAAAAGCCAGTGACAATCCCAAATGGGGCTGTATCTCGTACAATCGCTTGCTTCTGCCACTGAAGGAGTAAGCTTCCTGCCCCCTATGTTAGCAGGCTACGACTTTCAGATCTCTGCTACTCTTTTACTTAGTCTAAATCCTTCCCCTTGGTGCCTGCTAAAGAGCCTAATGAATCTCTTTTCCTCAACTATCCCTTCAGATCATGGAAACCAGGAAAAAATCGATAGGGCTAAAAACCACATGTGCACAATGACTCATTCTAAGTATTAAGCAAGAAAGCTGTCAAGTACGACATACACTCCAAGCTTCCCAATTTTTTTTTCTGGAATCAAACATTAGATTTTTTTCCAGTTCTGAAGACTCTACCATGAGCAAAATGACTTGGTAAATGTCAACTGAAGATGTATTTTGCTTGAAAAGCATACGTGTAACAATACATATAAGTTTGTCTCAAACAGCAAAAAGCAAGGAGAGTACCCAATACCATTCTGACAGAGAAAAATAAAAATGTGTAGACTATCAATAATGTGGGTATTTACTGAGAGGAAGGTAACAAATAACTGACAAGAGTGGTCATTCCATTAATATTGTAGCCAGTGATTTAAAAAAAAACACCTTGATTCAAATAAGTTGGTTAATGTAAAGGCATATTATACCTCCAAAATGGAGCTAATAATATCTGCACTTTCTATTTCAGAAGGTAGATATGAGGAAGGTAAGCCAACAGTGCTAAATAAAATAGTGTGTATCATCAAGGCCTGCTAGTAGCCTTTCAGAGAGTTCAGTGTATTTAATCATACAAATTTAATTATGTTAACCTTCCCGTCTGTGGCTTGTCCCACTGAAGCAACACCATGTACATGTTTGACTTTAAAAAGCCTTGCCCAAACCAACAGGAAAATACTATGTAACACTGTCAAGTTTGGTCTGATCCACAAATTATAAGATACAAAGAATCTATATGGAAAACCGTCACACTCCAAAGCAGAAACTATCATTTTATAACCACTACTCATTTTAACTTCAACTTAAGTTTGATAGGACTCACATTGCCGGTAGCTTCAGAAAAGATATCCCACACCTGTTCCTGAAGAGAGTCGTTATAAATTTTTAAACTGTTCTTCATCCAATTCTGTCAAGAAAAGAAGTTCAGATTATTTGCATGATCTATTGAATAAAAATAACAAGAGGCCTAATTTATTCTCTACCCTTGAAAGGCAAACCCAATGGTGAAGGCCACTCCTGTTCTTTCCCTGTTATTGCTTACCATGTTTGGGTCTTCTGTTCCCAGACTGCAGATGGCTGTAAAATCCCTGTCTTCAACCCCTCATGAATAGGGCAGGGGTGAAAGGGGGCAGGAATGGCAAAGTTGAAGAAATACAGTCACTCTGGGCTTTCTCCTCCTGCACTGGACTGTTGGGTTTTGCAGCCCCAGTTCCTAAATAATATCTTTACCCCAACCCCGAGTCCCTATCTTGCTCTTCATCTCAGAACGGGGGCCTGTGATGATTTCATAATAACTCCCAATACAGATGAAATTTTATTTCAGCCTTTGCTGTCATTCAAAGTCCCTATCAATACCTATTTGAAAAACAAGCTAAGTAAGGCAGGTGGCAAAGGAAAGGGAGAATGACTTAGGAGAAAGCCTTTTAAACATTTTATAGGTCCACAAAAGAGCAGTCCTTGCAAAGAAACAGCAGATCGTGGCAGGGCAAAGGCAAGTCTGGCAAACCCATGCCAGAGAATATGCCCTTCTGAGTTTTTAATCAATGGAAACGCCTCTACTCCTGCCCTTCCAGGACTCCCCTTGACTTTGTTAAAACTCTGAATGCATTTTCCCCACTGAAACATTGTATTGTAGAATGAATTCCATGTGTAACATTGTGGTTTAAATAAGTTTTTATAGGTTAGCCTGGGAACCTAATCACCAGGTTTATTTCAATAAGAAAATGTGCTTCAAACTTAAAAAACAACATGCCCGTGAACTTTTGGAGACTACAGAATGATCCTTTTGAAACCTCTTTTTGTGAGGAAGTGACTTCAACTACTTACCTGAAATTTGGCCTTTTTTCTTGGAATGTTGTCAAAACCACTAACTTTTTCTAAAATCTCTCGCAATTTGGGGCTAATACTGGGTTTCTTCATTACTTCATGAATCTTCTGCAAAAGAAGAAATTATAGACAGCCAGAAAAGATGAGTAGGGGTGTAAAACCAGTGACTCCAAACATAAACCCAACTAGGAACTCATGATGACACAATAATTCAACAACCAAATTGGTACTACTAGTCTACAACTTTGCCAAGGTCAGAAAGGTCTGTCTATGAACCTGTTGCTTCCCTCTCATGAGAAAATAAAATACCTGGACAAACAGTAAGATCATATAGTATCCTTTAAGTCCAGAGTTCATGACTTGGGGTTCATAAACTTAAAAATTTTTTTTACAACTTTATTTCAATATAATTGGCTTCCTTTATAATCTTAGGCATTTTAATGTATGCATTTTGAAACACCATTCTGAGAAGGCTTGGTCCTTAGGCTTCACTGGACTTCCAAAGGGGTCCATAACACACAAAAAGTTAAGAACCCCTGCTTTAAGTGGTAAGTGATAACTTCAAGTAACTTGATTCAAACTCAAAATTGGCTTCATTGAGGTCATAATCAGTAAGACCTATTGCTGTGGAAGATACGGGGACAATATTGTTTATTAGTTCATAGGGATCATATGATCCTATTTCTACAGGTGGAATGGCCCTCAGAAGTCATCTGGTCCAGCTCTTTCATTTCACACTTGAGGAAACTAGAACCTAGGTCCTGCTAATTCCATCTCCAGTGCTAATTTCACTGCACCGGGCTGTAATGACCCAGTATAGGAAAGGGTGAGAGGAAGTTCCTGTTTCCATTCCTATAACTGCTTTGGGGGAATGTTATTAGAGTGTTATTATTACGCTTCTTCTGCATTCTCATTGTACTTTGTAGCTCTTATTTTATATACCCATTCTACCCTCTGCTACGTGATTTATTAATTCCCACATAGTTATTTTATGAAGTCTGTGGTGAATCTAAGAATCACCCTTGTATCATCTGTATTTGGGTATATCTTCTCCCCCTAGTAAGCTGTAAAATTCTACAAGGGTAGTTATGGTATCCTATTTTTATACCCCCCCACCACTGGAAGGAAAAGTACCTTGGCCATAGCATGTGCTCAACAAATGCCTAATGAGTGAATAATACAATTAGTTTGGTTACATTAAGGACCAAAGTCGGTAGTAAGTTTCCTCCCAACTGCATTAGATGATCTCTAGTGTCTATTAAATTTTATGAAGTGGAGTTTTTGGGGGCTATCCTGCAAATCTAATAATTAATAACATTAACATTTCTATGTTAATAATAACATAATATTTCTATGGATAAATTATGTTTCAAATAAATGACTTACAAATAAACTTTTAGAACATATCCCATTAATAACTTTGGCATTTCCTGTAGAAGTTTTAGAAAATCTGTCTGGTGATAAAAATCTGTCAATAAACATCTCTTTCAAAAGAGCAAATAGTTAGTTATTCAAAGAGCTAGTGTATCAGATTCTACTACCCATTACAGTACTGACAATCTTTAAGGAAAACGTGTGTTTGGAGCAATATGCTATTGAGTAGAAAAGTATGATGTGACTACTAATTCTATCTTTCTTTACTCCTTCCCCCCATCAAAGCCTACCCCTGTCAAGAAGTATTCTTTGCCTTAAAATCAGACATGTTTGCACTCCTGGTATAACAACAGTAACAACAAAGCTAATCTCAATATCATCCAATGAACACGGAAACTTTTTGAAGAAAATTATACAATACAAATATTTTACCTGAATCCATTCTTGCTGTTTAGCATCTCCTTTGTTAGTTTTGGCCTCATAACCTTTGCCACCATATTTCTGATCTTCACTGATGCACTTTACATGTGTTTTATATTCATCACCCCTTAAATATAAAAAGTAACACATTTTAATAGTTTTGAAATGTTAAGTCCTATCTCAGTATATTAAACACACAAAATATTACCTATTATATCAATCATTCACTCTAAAATTCCATTATTATACTTCTCAGTAGTAGTAGTAATAATACTAATAATAATACTAATAATACTAAGCTAACAGTGATAGCACTCACTATGTGCCAGGCAGTGCGCTAAGTGCTTTACAATTATTATCTCATTTGATCTTCACAACAACCCTGGGAAGTAGTGCTGTTATTATCTACATTTTACAGATGAGGAAAATGAGGCAAATAAGGTTAAGTGACTTGCCTAGGGTCACACAGCTATTAAGTGTCTAAGGATGGAACTGAATTCAAGTCTTTCTGACACAGCAGGTCAAGTGCTCAAACCACATATGTCCCTATCCATCAGGGTTCACTTCACCACTTTCTCTCCTCTAAGGTCCAATATATAAAATGCTGTTACCAAACTCTTTGCCTATTCCTTACATTTGGGCCACTTTTAATACCAAACCTACAAAGACACTACAACAGTGCAATGCTTTATGGGTATACTGGGCATCTGTATGCAAATGAAATAATATGTAAAAGCAGTCTTTAAGCACTAAAGTACTAGACAGATATTTAGGGTTTGTTTTGGCCTTTTTTTGTGGACCTGTGATGTCTTTGCTGACATAAATGCTGTGTTAATTTCTTCTACTGATGCAAAGCAGTAACTCAGTCTTAAATGGTGGCTAGGGTGCCAAGAGGCTAAGGTTCTTGGGGCCAGTGGTCACAAAATACCTGTCAGAGACAGGTGTTCCTGACTCCAAGACCAGCCCTCTTTCCAATATGCCTTTGACAGTACAGATGTAAGGTACAAAAGCAGTGCTAAGAGATGACATCAGCTTCAGTGTGGATGCATACATACAGGAAGACCACCAAGGCAGGCTCTTGGGAAGTACACTTACGCACCTCATACTAAGTTCATGGGTAACAAGAGACGTGTGCCTGCTGGGATCTCCCCACTGTTGCTGGGCCTTTCTTTTTGCCTCAAGCACCCTGTTAGGCTTTCCCAAATACTGATCATAACAGCAACCCTAATTTTCAAGCTCAATGGGGGAAGCTACACAAGAGCATGGTCATTTAGAACACCTTTAAAATCAGTTATAGTTAAAAAGCTTACCAGAAGTCTTTGCTACAGTCAATGCAAGAAAGGTATTGACAGTTTTTGCAAATGTTCACATGTTTCTCCACTTGTCCTTTCTTCACTGATTCTCCACATGCATTGCATGTAAAAAATACCATTTTAGTAAATGCTTTTTTTGTTTTACCCCAAACAGATGAAAATTCTTGACCTAAAAAAATACATGAGATTAATTTTAGATGCCTCAAGAATTTATAGAACACACACATACACATTTAAAATATATCAAGAAAGACACATATCAAGAAATAGTAACTATAAACTTAATAGTTCACTCATAATTGAATGAGTTACATGGCTAACTTTCTAAATGTATTTTACAGAGAAAAATATATAGTACAAGCAAAAGTCAAAACAATATAAATAAAATTACTATGGCGCTCAGTCAAGCCTAGACTTTCTTTCTTTCTTTTTTTTTTGGATAAGCTTTTCCCCCTAGAACGGCTAAACCATAAGCAAAAATAATAAGATAACAATTTACACTACCTATCTAGTATCATTCATATGTAGTGATTGGTATTTATGTGTATAAAAGTCATAGAAAGATGATTTTAAGTTTGCACTGCAAATGACTGTAGCTTACCAAGTGAAATGATAATGCAAATAACAAGGTAGCTATAGATGTGTGGGTGCATGGCATGTAGAAGGCTCAGGATTGCTGATAGAAAAGAAATACCTTCTCCCAAAAAAACACAAGGAAAATAATATAAATGTATTGGTGATGACAGCTCTTTGTCAAAATATGTCACTCATAACAGTATTCTGCTTCAATACTGCAACTCGCTTACTGAGCCTCCTTTAATAACCCCAGAACCTTTTAGTGTTTTTGTCCTTGAATGCCAAGTGAGCCAGAAAAGATCACGAAAAAAAAAATCCTTTACACCAGCAACCCATAATGAAAAACAGAGGAATAAACAACTAATCTGGTAGGACTGTCTTCAATCAATCACTTCCTCCAAGGTCCCTGGAACTGGGCAAACATTTGGTCTTCACTGTATCTGCATACATATTATATAATCAATATACCTCCTCTAAACTTATTCCAGATGTCTAACTGATGAATGGGACTTCACTCTAGTGACCGAAGACAGTTCAAGAATGATACTTTCAAACTTCTGTAACTGTATAATGCCTGGCCCATGTCCCCTAAGATTAAAGTGTTCTGGACAGACCTAGAGATTCTTTTACTATGGGCACCTCTCATTAAAATGTAATGTTCTGTCTACAGTGCTCAACAGAATATTATACCAAATACATGGCTTGGGCCCTGGTCTCACTGTCAAAGTATCCACTGTCAACAGGAGAGAGTCAGGACCTGAGTTCAAATCTAGCCTCAAAAACACTTGACACTTATGGTGTGACCATGGGCAAGTCCCACGTGGGCAAGACCCCAATTGCGCTGCTAAACAACAACAACAAAACCCCAACTGTCCACTGCTAAGACCATAAACTTGGTCTGTAGCTGGAGCCTAATGGAGGAGGGGGTTTAACACTTAGAAATCTACAAATAAAAGAAGGCTTTTCCTATCACCACCAGATACCTCTGTAGAGGTACTTCGTAAATGTTAATTATTGATGACAATAGCAGTAATTCTACTTTAACAGGAGACAGCCATTAATTGAAACCAGTCTGAAGGTGGCACATCAGATTCTTGATCTGTTTTGATAGCTCTATTTTATATCTAATTTCAAATGATGACAAACATAATGCTAGGTATAACAGTCAACTACCAATAAATGGACTAAAATCATATTATAAGTATGAACCCAGGAAGATGTCATAATCATGGCCAAAAGCTAAAGAAATAATAAATACATTAGGTATAGCAGTGTGCTTGCTGATCATTTATTTACTATTCCTATAATATAGCTAATATTTCTATTCCACAATTGGAAAGCATCCCAGGAACATAAGTAAAGAATCGTCCAACCCTTTTGTGGTAAGGAAGTACTCTGCTTCTCACCTGAAGTCTTGTGATCCTATGGGGGAGGGGATGCTTGATAGGGAAGTCCTACCAGCCAGAAGGGAGGGCAAGTGACCAGAAACTATGTTGCTGTCCACAATCAATTGGCCAGGGAGCTCTGGTAGGGAAGAAGATAAACAAGTGACTTAGAAACTTAAAATATACGTCAGAGCATAAAGTGTTATCCTGGTAACGATCTAGTCCAACACCCCTACACTAAGCAACTTACCAAACTCAGGATGACTAAGAGAGGTTAAGATGGAGAGAAGCAAACTCCATCCTGCCTCCTCCTGTTGCTATTCCACACTCCTCCCTCTTCTCCCTTACCCTGGCAGTGGTAAAGTAACAGGAAAGATCACGGGGGAGCCAGAGAAGAAGATGAGAAGAGGACACAGTGGTCTTACAAGCCCTGTCCTCCTACCACCTGTTCCAGCCCAAGGTTTTCAGCACTACTAATGGGAAAGGCAATACATCCTCCAGCCACTAGCTCCATTTCTGTTCCTCACTCCAGAGTTCCTTCCTCAGTTGTTTATATACTTTCCACCCTAGAATCTCTGCCTCAGGCCAATGATTTTAGAGCTGAGAGAGTTCTCTCTTCTATTAACCAACTGGATAGGAGGTAAGGGGAGAGTGACGCTCCCAATTGTGTTGCAAGAGATGAAGTCTTCACAGGAAAGGCATTCCTGGTATCCCAAGTTAGAACCTGAATGTATTTTTCTCTTGAATCACTATTATATTTGATGTTTGGGCTCAACAGTATTGTACTTCAGTTCTACTGTAAGTTATATAGGTTTTGGTGCCCTGCCCTAGGAACCTCAACACCATGTGTGACATCATTATTATTAAAAAAAAATTTTTGTGAGGTTTTTTGCACAATGATCCATTCCTAAATTAGGAGTTCCTGATTTAGAAAATAATTTCAGACATGTTCTGGAGCTTTGGGTAAAGTACAGGATCTCTTTGCACTCTTTTTTTGTACTTTACACTTAGTGGAGAGAACAATTTATATCACCTGCTTGTTATTCACATGGATTAATAAGATAATGCTCATAATCAGCTTACTTCTCCTTTAGAAGCCTCAGTGCACATATTAATATAAACCATCAAAATAACCTTGACTGTCTTTCACACTGTAAAACTGTAAACTTGCAGGAAAGAATAACAATATTCTTTCAGTTTATGGCTGGGCAAACCAAGTATTAACTCTATAAAGAAAATCCACTTGAACTTACCAAGTAAAAATACCCAGTGGTACAAATCAATAAGCATTTTTTTAAGATGTGAAATTCTTTCGTTTCCTTTCTTTTTGTTTTATTGATGCCTTTTGTTGTTGGATTACAATCACTTTTTTTTTTTGGCTAGGCAATGGGGGTAAGTGACTTGCCCACGGTCACACAGCTAGTAAGTGTTATGTGTCTGAGGCTGCGTTTGAACTCAGGTCCTCCTGAATCCAGAGCTGGTGCTCTATCCATTGAGCCATCTAGCTGCCCCAATAAGCATTTTTAAGAGCCTATTTTCCAGACTCTGCAAAGCACTGGGGATACAAAGAAAGGCAAAATTAATGCAGTGGACCCTTGTAAGAGTGGGACACACTACGTGTCACCCTTTTCCCAGTGCCAATGCAGGTAAGCACCATCTCTGTAACTCAGTCTTGGAGAGCTGCTTGGAGCTTTGTTAAGGGACCAGTATCAGAGGTAGGACACTGATCCAAGATGGTGCTCTACTGTACCACCCTGCCTCTTGACTATGCAGTACTATACTTAAAAAGTGAAATAAGGACTTATCCCACAGAGTAGTGTGACCTACTGGAAAAAGCACAGGTTGAGAATTTGGAGATGTTCTAATTCTAGCTATGTCACAAGCAAGTTGTCTCTCCTCTGCTAAAATCTTGTGGTAATGTCTCATTATGTCAAGGAGGTACTCCTGAGTTCTCAAAATTCAGTTTAATTCAACATTTATTCAGTGCTTATTATATAAAAGGGACATCGATAAAGTAGGAGAGGCAGCTGTAATGTAATGTCCAAGATAGTAGTTAGGAAACGTGAGTTTCAAGGACTGCCACAGACACATATTAGTTCTGTAATTTAGAACAAGTCACTTAACCTCTTGGTGTCAAAGTTATAGAGTAGTTACATCCAGAATCCCTATGAAACCAAAGCTCCAAACCTTTCCCCCAACTCACACGAGCATACACACACATATGTATGTACAGTTTGCAAACAAAACTGAAAGTTGTTTTTCACTGCCTCCTTTCGATGTCCTTTTCCCTTCTTGGCAGCAGTTACCTCATCACTCATCTTTTAGTAGCCTAGTGCCCCAAGCCTCTTTCTCTGTCTTGCTCCCTATCAAAACCTTCAAGGAATAAATTAATTTACACATGCAGCACAATAGAAGTGAAAGGGTCACAAGCTGCTCCAACACTCTCTTTTTACAATATGTACTCTTACCCTCCAAAAGCCACTGTCTTGTTAGTTCAATTTTTTTTCAGGCTACTTGGCATTTCTCCTCTTCTGGGATCACAGTCTACGTTATGTCATGTTTGTATATACATCCTATTCCCACCCAGCCCTGTTCGGATAGTAAGCTCTTTATGAGCACAGAAGTAATTTTTTATCTTGGTGTCCACTTCAACTACACACCTCAGTCTCAAAAACTTAACTGTTTGCTGAATAGAACTGCGGGTCACAAGGTCCCCCCCAAGAGAGGTGGGGGTGTCTTGCAAGAATAGCTAGGTGTCACTGTGCACAGAGCACCTGGCCTGGAGCCCAGAATACTTGAGTTCAAATCCGGCCTCAAACACGTTCTGTGTGACCCTGGGCAAGTCACAAAACCCGTTTGCCTCAGTTTCCTCATCTGTAAAATGGGGATAATAACGCCACCTACTTCCCAGGGTTGTTGCGAAGATGAAATGAGAGAATGATTCTAAGGCGCTTGGGCCAGAGCCTGGCACAGGGAAAGGGCTGTATAAATGCAGACCCCTGTTACTGCTGCCCACGATCACACCCGGACGAAGCCATGGAGCGGGGGTTCACAGACAGACAGACGTCTGTGTCTTTCCACGGCTCCATCTCGCTTTGTGCGGTGCGTCCCCCCTCTCCCCCGCCCTGACACCGTCTGACTCTTAACAAGGTATCACAGAAGCCCGGGCCACACGCAGGAGCCTCCGGAGGTCCCTCTAGCCCTTAACTAAACAAGACCAAACAGGGACTGGCCGGCGCCGCCCGGGTGGTTCACGGCCCGGCAGGGACTCGAACCCAGGTCCTCTGACCGCCGGGCCTGAGCCGTCCACCCCCGGACTTCCCGGGCAGCGGCCCCCGCCCGGCCCCGCACTGCCCCACGAGGGCGGCGGCCGGCTCAGCTGCCCCTCGGCGGGACCCGGGCGGCTGCCGCCAGCCACCCCCTTCCCCCGGCGGCGGCCCCGTCCTCTGCAGCCTCAGTCCGCCCCACCGGACCATCACTCACCCCCGCCGCGCGCCGGAGAACCGTTTCAACCGCCCGCGCCCGGCACGTGGGCTCTCCCGGGGCGGCGCGTCCGCGAGTCCGCCTCCCGCCTCCAGTCTACGCCGACTGTCTGGGATCCCCAACTCGGGGAAGGTGGCCGAGACCGCACACAGGAAGACGCGCGCATGCGTGCGCCACAACCTTCGCTTTTCCCTTTTTCCTCAGCCCCGCCTCCGGCCCCATCTTCTCCGCGCGGAAGTGACGTTACCGGAAGTGCTCTGGGATACAGGGTAATGTCAAACCGCCGGGCCCAGCGGCCGCCGGCGGAGCCCTAGGAGCTCCGCTGAGCGGCGGGAAGCCGAAGGAGCCCGAGGAGGAGGAGGGCACGCGCCCGCTCGAACGGGTAAGGAAGCCCCTCGGGCGCTAGCTGGAAGGACCGGGAAGGAGGAAGCTTCGCTCACCGCCATTCTGGATCTCTGCATCCTCGGCAGGGTCCCTCTGGGCTCACCCAGAGTTTGGAGGGAGGCCGGGACACCGCTGCGAGTCAGGAAGGGTCCTTCACGGCCACCGTCGGAGCTCGCGGCCGGCGCCGCCCCCGGACTGGGTGGGCGGGCCCGAGGGAGGCAGGAGAGCTCCTCCCGCCTGAAGGGAGCCGGTGGGGCAGCCCGTGTCCGATCCGAGGCAGAGGGGTACTGATACAGCACCGGATCGGAGGGGCTGACCTAGGCCACCTTCTAAGTTTTATAGATTAGGAAACTAAGGACCAGAGAGGTTAGGTGACTTGTCCAAGGTCACAGATTTGAACCCAGGTCCTTCAAATTAGCTCAATTCAGAAAGCCTTACTGCGTGCGAGGAAATGCCGAGTTCTGGATCGTGTGTACCACGTGATCTGCTTTCGTGGCTGCTCCACGTGTCTGAAATTAGGGAATAGGCATTACAAGGTGCTGCACGTAACTGTCGATCAATAAACTAGCATTTATTAAGCTTCTGCTATAATACCAGGCACTCCTAGGCACTAAAGATACAAAGAGAAAAAAGCGCTAGCTGTGTGACCCTGGGCAAGTCACTTAATCCCAATTGCCTTGGGGAAAAAAAAGCGAAAAATGGTCCTGTCCCCAAAGACTTTAGGAATTGGAGGGGAGGACAATACACGTTTACACACACACACACACACACACACACACACACACACACACACACACACACACACAACACACACACACACACAATGGTTGCAAGGTGATTTGGAGGGAAAGCTTCATGGAGAAGGTGGCACTTGGTCCGAACATTGAAAGAAACTAAAGATTCTGGCTTGCTTTTTAAATTAAATTTTGTTTTTGTATTAATAAAAGTATTTTTATCTCCCACTTCATGTCCCTCCCATTGGGAGGGAAAAGAAAACGTATCTCTTGTAACAAATATGCAAAAACTAGGGATTCAGTGAGGTGGGGGGTGGGGGACAGTCCAAACAGGTAGAAGAGCCGTAGAGAAAGGCTCCAAAGTAGATGGCTGGAATATAGCTAGTCTCAGGAACAAGAATAAAGTCATTTTGGCTGAACCACAGTATCTGGGAAGATAGGTAAGGGCCCGCTTGTGACAGTGTTTAAATGCCAGAGGAGTTATGTCCCATCCTAGCCACAGTAGGGAGCCACAGGATTGAAATACTGGGGTAGAGAGAGCAACACTTGATTGACAAGAAGTCAGGAAATAGAGGTTTTGTCCCTGCTCTGTCAATAACTAGCTATGTGACTTTAGGTAAGTCACTTTGTGTCTTTGCTCATCAGATTCCTCAACCAGCAGAATGAAGAAGTTGGACTAGATTATCTCCAAGAGCTCTTCCCATTCTAACATTCTATGAAAGTCACTTAGTTGGTGGAAGAGCATGAATGCCTGATTCCTCTGCCAGTCAATTTTCCTAATAAATAAGTGCTATAGAAGTTAAAAATATCAAATGCTTTGTAATTTTGTGTAATGATGGCATCAGGGTCCAATCAAAAAAAATATTTTGTTTTTACTCTTATCAGGTAACTGAATTTGTACAGTGAGAGGTGTTTGATTTATTGTGAATTGATAGTTTCTACAGACAGATGATTTTTTTTTCCTTAAAGGCTTTTTTCATATTAAGAGTTAATTGGTGATTTTCCAGAATCAGAAACAAAAAGGGTTTTTCTTTTTGAATATACAAGAGAATAGCAACAATAGTAAGTCCTTTTTTTGACATAAAGAAGTTTGCATTATCAGTACCAGTTTCACATTTGAGAAAGGATCATGTTATGATCTTATTTTCTTCATAGAGGCAGATAGTTGGTACAGGGTCTGAAGTCAGGAAGACCTGAGTTCAAATGCAGCCTCAGACACTTACTAGCTATCATTTAACTTCTGTTTAACTCAGTTTCCTGAACTGTAAAATGAGGATAATAATAGCACCTAACTCCCAAGTTTGTTGTGAGGATCAAATGTGATAGTATTTGTAAAGCCTTGAGCACATAAGTGCTAAATAAAAGTTTGTTTCTTTCTGGCATTTGAAAAGAGAAGTGTTAAAATATTTGCCAAAGATAGGTACCATTTTTTTTTGCTCCAAAGAGGATTTGTTTTTCTTGTAGTTTTTAGTGACTTAGAATTCCTATGTTTGAGGGAGGAGAAGTTCAGATTTCAAGGAAATAAACTGAAGTAAACAGACAATTCAAATGAAGTAGTTGTTATACCTGCTAGGTTGTCCAGGTTATGAAGATCAAGATGTTTGAATAGTGTTCATATTTTAAATGAGATATAACTTGTGATAATACCTTGTTTTCTACTTAGACTTTTTATCTAAAAAATTATAATGACCATAGAAATTATTAGATAAGGTGACAAATTGACATTTTACTGAGATAGAATAGTAAAAGCAGCAGTAAGTAATAAAATGTGCATGCAGTAAGCATAAAGGTAGTTTATACTCATTTTACAAATTGAGAAGAGAATAAGCCTTTATGTAGTGTCTACTTTGTGCCAGGCATTGTGCTGAGCACCTTTTGCAAATATTATCTCATGTGATTTTCACAACAATCCTGTGAGGTAGATTCTATTATTATTCTCATTTTGCAGTTGAAGAAACTGAGGCAAACAGGTTAAGGGACTTGCTCAGGGTCACATAGATAATAAAGAGGCTAAAGCTGGATTTGAATTCAGGTAGTCCAGACTCCAGGCTTAGTGCTCTATCCACTGTGCCATCAGCAGCCTGGGGGAAAAGTACTATGCAAGTAATTTTCTTCAGATGTGAATTGCATTAGTAGCAGAAATTTTGAATATTTGACAGATTAACTCCATAAGTAGACAATCATTAATGCCTACTATATACATAATTCTTTGGTAGTATATTGTGGACTGGCTGATGCTCCTCAGATTTTGGAGTTGAGTGAAGGAAGACACATCTGTCTTAATACTACTAAGAGGTCAAATCAGGTTGTTTGATAATTAGACAGAGGATACAGTGTCATGGATAGTCCCAGTTCCCAGGATGCCCAGAATGAGATGTTTAGTGACACAGAGGTCATGGAAAACAGCCAGCAAGCAGGATAGTGCCTCGAGTGCTTTGGGCCTGACAGCCCTGACTAGTTACTCAAAGGATGCCTGATGCTGCATACTCTTTGTATTATATTGTCAGCAACATGAGTGAACCAAAAAAAAATCCAAACGATACTAGGAAATCGTTCATAGCATCAGTGGAGATCAAGCTGTGCAATGTGACGCATTTGGCAGAGTGTTAAGGCTTGACGGGTGCAACAACCGAATCAGAGTAGAATGGGTGAACACCTCAGCTGCAAAGAAAGAAACAGTGAGGGACAAGACACAATCCTGTGTCACCAAAGAGTCTGTCGAAACAAGTCATATAGGCCTCCATGGCCCGTGTGTTATGTCACTGCTGGTAGCATACAAATAGAAAAGACCTTCAGGTAATTCACAATAGAAAGAACTGTATACATAACATAAAACATATGGAAAGTAATTACAAAGCGGCATATGAGTAACTGAAACATAATACTGTAAGGTATGAACTGGATATGTAAGTGCTGAATGAAGGCATGATTTAGCCAATAAACATTTGTGTGCTTGCTTTGAATAGCAGCCAGCGCTATTGAGATTCACTGAGGCAACGTGAAACATCAGTGACTTCTTTCATGCCTGTGAATAGCTCTCCACTAGCCACTCCAAGACACTACATAGAACTAGGAAGCATAAATACTATTCATAGTTGGCTTTCAGGCTTACAAAAAGACAAACTACCTCTAATGATTAGTCTAAGGTTTACAAAGCGTGATTCATGATCTCACTTAATACTCACTATAACCCTATGAAGTTAGCACTACAGGTGTTGTTATCCCAGCTAAAATGTCAAAGGAGAAATCTGAACCAACATTTTTCCTTATTCTACTTTCTGTTCCACATTGTTTACTAATAAATTAGTAGATTAGCTCAGATTTTACAGGCTAGAGTTAAATATGTTTAATCTCTACAGGTTTAGTGTTATTCCTTCTTCAAAGTTCCTATTTTTCTGGTTCTAGGCGATATTATATTCTGAAACATTTTTCCCACTCATCACCTAAAAGGTAGTTCACCTAGGTTCTTTCTGGCCAGTCAATAAAGATTTATTAATATTTGTTAAATAGGTACTGGGGAATATATCAAATTTTGATAAGGCATGATTCTTAACCTCTTGGAGCTTGTGTTGAAGTAGGGAGATAAAACAGATTAATAATAATATTACACAGTAAGTACATTAGAGGGGTGAAAAACAGGCACTCTATTTGGTCATTACCAACAGGGAATCCAGAAAAGCTTGATTGAGAGGATTGAATGAGACTTTAACTAGGTTTTTTCCACAAATTCTTATTCTGATTATAGTATGAAAGTTATTCTGGGTTCCTGAAAAGTATGCCAGCCCAACATAAGTTCTGGCAGGTTCTGCTGACCTGGAAAGACTTTTTGTCGTGGTCCTGACCATAAACTCATTCTTAAAACTAACTTATTTAATAACATAGAGCATCACCGGTAGGATAGCAACCAGCTGATGAATTTTAAAACCTATGAAACATTTTTAAATGGTACTCATCCCAGTATGGCCCTTATGTAGTGGCAGTGGCCACAAGGGGGCAGAACATGCTAAGAATCACATAGTTTTTAGACCTTCTATAAACATTAGCAGTTAGCAGTCTAAAGGTGAGCTCTTTGTCCAGAGAATAATGAATTGACCTATAAAAGCTTAACTGATATAAAGCAGTGGTCACAGTGTCTAAAGAACCTCAGAAAAGATCTTAACCACACACTTATGGTTTTCTTAAAGAGACATTGCAACAAAGAACAATACAACTTTAGCATACAAACTCTTTTGTAAAACACTGCAGAGGAGGATAGCAGCAAATT